GTTTTATAGCATGGGAATGGTTTCACAAACAAATATGAGACCGAAAATTGGTCGGAACTGCAAAAACTGAAATTCTAGTCTACTTTGTCCCAAAGCAGGTTAGTAGTAGTCCAAACAACTGAAAAATTATGCCTGTTTTAAAGCAAGAAAGTTGCAGCTAATTATAAATTCCATAAGTTAAGCCTTGATTACATTTACCACGTAATGTCCGTATGGTGCTCGTATACTGCCCGTGAAACCCTTTTTGTGTGGTGTCTCTGCGGAGGCAGGCGGTGGCCGCCCGAAATTTGTTTAAAACGAATTTAAAGGTAGACGTGCAACAAATCTGATTTTGTATATAAGCACATCTTTCATGGGTTTCCAAAGGGGAAGAGGAACCAAATTTGCCACTCAGTAGAATTTGAAGGAGTGGCATTTTCTCAGGCGGTGAACGAAGGGAAGGAGGGTGCTCTTGTCACATTATAATTTAAAACAGTAACAGATTTTAACAAATGGGGTAGTTTAAGGAGAATCTTGTAAAATTAACAAGAATGTTTTTGACATGCAAATGAATTGTACATTGAGTTATCATAGTTTTCACTTTAGACATAAATGTGCATCCATAAAAAGTAAATGCATTTTGCTCAACTTCTACTTATGCTTATAGGGCAGCTTGGAACAATAAGACAGAAAATTGCCAAAAGATTTAATATTTAACTTGGAGACTGAGGGTCAAGGGAAACGAGGTCAAGGTCATCACAATAAGAGACGACAGGGACTTCAGAGAGATTGTATGAATATCGAACATGGAACTAAAAGGATTTTGTCAAAAACATAACGAACGGCGTCTCATATTGGCGAATCATGGAATACGTGTCAAACAGTTTGTCTACATCGACTGTGCTCACATCGTATCGCAACTTGTATCGATTCCAAGTTAATTTTAATGCATCTTTGAGTAATGTCACACACTAAATTTTCTTTTCTCCTCAAAGTCGTCCAGATTTGAGGTAATGACGATGTCCATCTTCATCAAGCATACGAATGATCAGAGGCGACGGAGGATTTAATGAAGACGTATGCAAGCAATAGCAAGAAACCTTTCTAGTATTGAGTGTAAACTCGGTGCTTCAAAATCTCTTGTGGTCGGCCTATAAAATGTAAGTTGCATGATGTATATTCGTACCATGAATTTACAAGCAGCTTGCTCGAAAACAAGTCATTTCCATCTATTCTATCGTTATTATAGGTATCAGAAAATTCAAAGTTCTTCATCGCATGGACAAACAATGGAATAAAATATAACACAGCAAAAGTAAACATTCCGGCAATTTTGGACTTCAGTTTTTCTCATTAGCACCACGTTGATATTACAATAGTAAATGAGTCAAACGTTTGAATCGCTAAGTGCCAAGTTTCATCGAATTGAAATAAATGGCATTTATCACATCATGACTGCGGTACGTTTATATATAAATACATAAATGCATGTATGTCCAAATACTTTGAATTGACGTCAGATGGACGTCATGTATAAAACAATTTCCTGGCACGTATGTGATTTAATTGATCATTAACACGCATCTTCTATATCCGGTGAGGATACATGATGATAATAGTTATACCTATATTTATACTAATGTCACGATGACATATAATATGATATGTCTATGTTGGAATCTAGACGGCGGGATGCATGGAAGGATTAGGCGTTGGCATTTTAACACATTTGCCCATGATCAAGTAAGATTTGGTGCAAAAAAGGGTCTTCTCTTTCGTTTTGGTGTATCATCAACTGAAATAAGTTTCAGCATTGCTTTTGACATAGGGATCACACGTCATATTACGTTTGAGCCTTAACTTTCTTTTTTCCCTCTTTCAAAGAAAAGGCCACAGAGGGAATACATCACACGTATCTTTGCCATAAGGTCCTGCTATTTTATTGAATTTTTATGGAAGTTTGAAAAAACAGCTGCGTTTTGATTTTTTTTTTTTTTTTTTGACACAGTGAAATATTATTATTATTTTTTCTTTTTTTACTTAAAAGGGAAACACGATTTCGATGAAAAAGTTAAAATATTTGTTTGCAAATGAGAACGACGTCGCTTTCGTCATTTAATAAGGGTAATATTTCGTAAAACAAACAAGAAATTAAAACTATGAAAACTGTGCGCTTTTCTTAGACAACCGTGATGATGTTTATTATGATTGGCCAGGGCCCCGTAACTCGAAAGCATCGCGCATTGCGACCGAGCGCAAGCGTCTCGACGCCATAACTCGCCCATACTTGCCCCATGTAATAGCCTCGAAATTAAAGGTGATATCGCTATTCGCAATTCGCGATGCTTTCGAGTTACGGAGCCCATGCGTGTTTCTTCGTTTTGTCGCCATACATCTCTCACATCTGTTTCGTTTCTCAATCGTTAATTCCACTCGTTAATTAGCTATAATCACCTCATTCATCTTAACAACCTTTAAAAACAGTCAGCCTTATATCAACTACCTCAGGTCTTTTATCAATTGTCCAACTTTTCTTTTCCGGTGACTACACGATGGAGCTACTTGAGCAATTTTCTTTTGGGAACTTATAGATCAATTATGTTACGTGATTATATTTCATTTCTGCGTACAGTCTGCATCTAAGATCTCAGAGGGAGCTGGTGAATATACATTGGTTAGGGGTTTAATAAATGGAAATATGAATAAGGAAGTAAACCTTTACAGGTATAGAGGTCAGTTTTTTTCTCCAAAAGGGACCATACAGCCACCTTAGCAAAGAAAACATTTCATAAAGAACCAACCAAAGAAACCACTCTGAAAAAAATAGAAATTTAAAACATAAGTGAACTTGTTCTTGAACTTGTATTTTTTATCCCTTTTCTCGAAACATAGATGTTTAATGATCGTGTGTGACAAAATTCTTACCGACCGGTACGCAATGGCATTTGAAAATGAGCACCAAGATATAGAGATGTGACGTGTTAAGAGCATTTCAGTGCAGTGCGTAACTCATTTTCATGTTGTTTTTTTTTTTTTTTTTTTTTTGTTTTTTTTTCCAGGCAAAAAAAAATCNTTATATAACATATTTTAAAATAACATTCCACTATTATCTCACGCTAGTGTTAACATCAAAATAGGCCAAAGATATGCTTAAGTGATGGTTTTTTCTGCTTTTCTCCTCTCCTCATTTTTTATATCGGCGTCGAGGTATGAAACCGTTCAGAAGATATAACTCGCTAATCTCGAAAAAACTCTGTTTAAAATTACTTTATTTAAAAAGATATTAATGTGGACGTTTTATGACTACAATCCGTTGTCCTAAAGGAAGAACGATACACTGTTTTTCATTGAATCAAGGAAGTCGATCGTGTGCTTCCTTGGTTGAATAAAATTTCCCTCAAACCTACTGGGCTCCATTTCCATAGACAAAGCATTTCTATTGAGGGAATACCCAAAATCTGACAAGGGTTTCACTTTTAGACTTTGGGTATCCCCAAATATTTCTCCTATAACCTCTTTTTGTTACAAAGAGGACCCGGCTGGTACCGTAATGAAATCCTCAACACTGGCCAGTAAATATCGGGGTGAATAATACATGTATCACTGGTAGAGTAAAACCCCTTTAAACTGGAGGTGTCCTTTCCTTTGTGTGACCATGAAGCTGTCTTCGCTGTGGTTTTAGAAAGGAGTCACAAGCATTGCTTTGGTTGAATAATGAATGCTCAATGATTGGTCAATGATTGGTCAACTGTCGGCAAGTAAAGTATAATAGTAAACGGGACGCAGAAAGGACACTGTCCAGTGTAAAGGGGGCTTAGGGATCCTCCTCTCTGAGTTGCCCTCGGCGTGCCAGTCCACAAACAGCTCAGGATCCGTTTTGTAAGCTTTGTGCCATCTTTTACCGTATGTAACTGTTATTATATACTTTTTCCTTTTTTCATTTGGTATTGTTTCATCATAAAGGGGAGTTAACGAATAAATCGAAATTCTGTAAGTAAGAATGACTGATCGTTTGCCCATGGTAATAATCATGCTGATATAATCCTTTTTGCAAGGCTCATTAAAAAGTCAGCTTAATTAAAACCACGTATCTTACAGCAGTAATGACCACCTTGCGTGTTAATCCTCGAATAATGCATAACACAAATGTTACAAAAAGGGGCAGCTGCCCTAAGTCATTAAGAAAGTCTACTGTTTCAACATTGCTCATCTACTATGTATGAACCGCGCAAACCAAATTGAAAATTGTTGTTGCGGTTCGCTTTGACCTACTTCCAATGTGTTTTTCATCTACCGCAATCCCTAATGCAAACATTATTTCTTTACGAATTTAGAACAAACATACCTGTTGCAGCTGACAACCTATGTGGGTACACCATAATACAATGTAAACGAAGAAGACGTTTTAATTAACCTCAAAACACGGACACCATGTAAAATAGATGTGACGGTGTTATGATTTATATCGTGCAAAAGTGGGCGCAAACGCATAGTTGGCGTTTTCTCCTCCTAAGTATTCGTTCATGCTCACACATGTAAGATCTTATTCTCTCTATATATAATTGTTGTGAAATTCTTATGATTGATAAAACCACAAAACCATCAGGGATATTTTACCTCTGAAATGTTGCTGTTAGCTCAGTCAGTAGGACTCGATTAGTACGCAAGTAAAAGTATGTTTAATTATAATTTATTGATGTATTTCACATATAAAAGGCGGTTTGCAAGCTCTGGTTACTTGAAAAGTACCTCGCTTCAGACACAAAACAACTAAGACACTTATTTCTTTTAAAACAATAAATCAGTTCTTTTATATTCAAACCTGACTCTTATAATCACGGATTATTTAAATATTTATCTGAGTCTTGATCATATTTGATTACATTCAGACCGTTCCCCCCTCCGTTTAGGTTTTTCGAGTTATATACATGGGCACCGTAATTACAAAGTTCTGAAGCACATCAACTACACATATAATCCAACACATTATGTATTTATATTTGCATGTAAGTCTACATATGTTAGGCGGCAGGTCGTGGCCATGGTTTCATTGGCTCGTTTTTCAGCTCTTCCGTTACAAAATCAAGATCTGGTGGTTTACGGCACTCACTTTCATTGAACCACGCCTTAAAGTTCGTCCACGTCTTCCGTGGCATCGGGTTCTGGTTGACCTTTTTGCATAAATCACACCAAGATTGCCGTGTTCTGGGTGTATAACTTGTGCCATCGTAGTAGTTTTTCCATTCAAGCATTTTTGCATATAAGGCAGGATCTTTGTCGATCTTCATGAGGTATGCGGCGAGATCCCGCGGGTGGGAGAAGTTGGCGGTATTGATGTACATTTCCGGTGTGGCGCCAAGACGCGTGTAGTCTGCGGCGCCGCGAACTACAACAACAAAGTCCCCTCGCAAAGTTTTGAAAAACTTTTCCGTGACGTAATCGAAACTGAAACTGTTTTCGAATGCTAGAAAAAATTTGTAATTTTCGCCAACCAGGTCCATGCAAGTGTCATCAATATAACCTCTATTTTCCATGGGACAACCATTAGGATCCCCGCACTCACCTAATATGTCCAAGGGCATGTGTTTTCTTAGTTCTTTAATATAGTACTCTCTTTGTCCAAATGTTTCACAGTGGCTAGATATCCAGACAGCCAGTTTTTTCTCTCTCAAGGCAACCTCGGTGTAATTCTTATTCGTTGGGGTCTCCCTTTTCCACACGTCTCCGTAAAACATCGGAATGTCAGAATCGGCTCTGTATGTCATTGTCCAGTTAAAACCTTTACTGTCCCATTCCGGGTATAACTGTTCCCATTTCCCAGCAAACCCCCTAAAACAGGGACTCTCGTGGGTGTAAAATATCCATATTTGGTCGGGATTCGTTCGCGTTGGCCAAACTGGGTTCTTCTTGTTCGCTAGAGGACAGATATGTAAAAGCACAGCATCTGCCTCGTTGAGTTTACTCTGGTTTAGCGTCATGATACAGTTACTAACCGGGCAGTTCAGTTCTTTGAAAAGTCCGTCCACGCCATCTTTCATGTAGCCCCAGTCATCATTCCAAAATAGGATGGTTTTCGGGGGCCCAGTTGGTATGAACTCCTCTTCTAACTCATTGTTTCCTGACCCGTAACTTTTGACAAAGCGATAAACGGTGTCAGTGCTCTTTGAAGGGAGAAACACAAGCAGGCCTATGACAACAATAAGGGCGATGATAATATTTGTTATACCGAATACTCGAAATGGCCGAACGATGCACGTGGTGGCCATGGAACGCAGGCGAAACAGCCTCCCTGTCAAGACGGCCATCTTCTTTGAGAGACTTCTGTGACAGTGGTCTTGTTGGCAACGTGTCTACGTGGATGCGCGCGCACGTCTCCAAAGCAGCTGGCGCTCAGCGTAATGATTCTGCTTATGAATTAATCAGTGTATTTGAAGTTATACAGGAACGGCAATGTGACGAACACAGAGTTGAGCTATTAGGAAAGGTCGTTGCACAGGGTCATGTGTACATTCTCACACATCTCCATAGTAAAGTACGTAGGTTGACATCTCGTATTGTAGTATTATAGTTATTTTAACTGTACTAGTGTGTTCAGATAAAGGCTCAGAAACAACGGAATAATAAAAAATGCTGAGAAGTACCTATAAACTCGTCAACACCGTCTTGCCACCTATATTGGGAAATATCATACGTGATGAAGAATATCTGATAGTTTTCAGAACGTATTCTTGGATATTCTGACTGTCCGCCATATTGTCCATCAGCAATTTTTGCTGAGATTATAAAAATTGCAGAGTGAATCTAGTTTATGACAAAGTGCATAGAACATTAAAGAAGGTTAGGAAGAATACGGGTACGATAGACCTACTCTTATATATATAAATACGGCATCTTAAGGTGTATCTACTTAATAATGTAGGCCTATACATATCTATTCATTAAAAAAATATAAGGAGTGATCTGAATTCAAAAGTAGTATTTAAAGATTACAATTTGGTACAGAATGCTGATTTTTGCATTGCAGATTTTGGCGAATTAGCAAATTTGAAATGTGTTACTCGCAATATTCGCAATATTGCCACATGTCTAGTTTACCGTGCTCTTTGGCTATTGTCTTCTTCTTTTATACTAAAATCATATTCATACCAATTAAATTTTGCTTGTGTAAACGTTCCCGCTTCGCATTAACATGTAGTATAAATTCTGACAAAGATCATCTAGCCACCTAGTGTTTATTTTGTTACATGCAATTTGGATTAACCAGAGAGACTAATCCGCAAATATTCCAGTGTGGGTTATGATATATTCATGCATCTAAGCGTTGTTGAGATATTATCATAATGCACCGCTAGAAAATGACACAGTCGTTATGGAGGCAACTCAGGCTTTTTCTCTGCGACATAGAGATTTGATTTTTATATTTATTGGAATTATTTTGATTGGTTTTATATGTTTCTATGAGTGGGACGGCGAAGTGACGGGGTGCACTGTCATCCACAATGCGGTGCTTTCAGACGATAGGATTTCTCAGGCGAACTTGGACGAATTTCAGGTTATGTCAAGGTGGGTTTCATTTTATATTGTACTTGATACTTTGATCTTGACCTTGGACTATATCACAAGTAAGATGTACAATGTGAACTATACACACAGCGGCCTGCATATATGCATGACACACACACACACTTTGAGAGAGAGAGAGAGAGAGAGAGAGAGAGAGAGAGAGAGAGAGAGATTTTAAAGCTCTTTGTGTGTAATTGTGGATGTGTGTGTGTGTGTGTGTGTGTGTGTGTGTGTGTTGTTTATATCACTTGACTGCAAATATTCAAATTATAAAGATGACTCATCATGCCTTGTGGAATCTTTACATTTTACTACCAAATAACACTTCTTGAATCTTCCAATTTTCTGTTTAATCTTAATCATAGTTTAAATTTTGTTCTCGTGCACCTACGTATTAATTTCTAAACAAAAGTCAATCAATAGGAAAACAACAACGTCAGTTTCAGTAATATGTGCGTAGTTCATTACCAACCTGTTGCTAGTTTCAATAATTAACAAGGGTAAAATGATCAAACAACACATTTACAATTTAGAAAAAAAAGAATAAAATATTAATGCTAATTGCGTTACATACAGCTGCATACAGCCGCCAAAGCGGTTAGGAATTGACGTAGTCTTTGTGGTATTTATTTTTCTTATTTTTTGGGAAGTGCGTGTGCATACGTTTAGGCAGTATTACATAAAACAAGCCCTGCTCAAATCGCTTAAGTCAAAAAATCGAATGAAGAAATAACAAACTGCACTGTATGATGAAATTAATTTATGAAAAAAATTCAAATTGCATTTGAATAGAAAATCTTTACATTTTAACATGGTGTCGATCTTTGAGAGTAGTAAAGCGTAGTTTTGCATCGAGCTCTCGCCCTTCCATATTCACTGAATCACTTAATTCATGTTTTGATTCTATTTTTAGGATCCTCGAAAGTGATTCAGATTTGTCCTCTTTGATACCGCTGCTGTCTTTAAAATTCAACAATGGAACTCAATCCGACGACAAAAAACAGTGCAAACCAAAAACAAAGATAGTCAGTATAAAAATTCACAAAACTGGCTCTACAACATTATCTGCTGTAGTCCTCAGATATGCCTACAGAAATCGCCTAAGAGTAGCTATCTCGTCTAGTGACTCGAAAAGCGGGATTCTGCGAGACCAACATGATCGTCTGCCTCTGAAAGCAAACGAAGTGTGGGCAACACACGGCAGATACAGACCAGAGATTCTCCGTCAATTTACCACCGAAGAAACATTTTTCGTCACAACGGTCAGAGAACCCTTTGAAAGATTTAAATCTCATTTTAATTTTTTTCACATGGGTAATGTGTTACGGCAAAATGGGGACAGTACACTGAGAGATTACTTTACCAAACCAATGTACTCAAAATCCAGAGACCTTATGAGCAACTATATGTTAAAATACCTTGGGTTTCCAAACAACAAGACTCTTTTGTCGGACAGTAACTATGTCAGTGACTATATTCGTAAATTGGACGCAGAATTCCATCTTTTAATCCCACTTGAATACTTCGACCAAGGACTGATTTTGACTCGAAGAATGCTGTGCTGGGACATATCTGACATCATATACCTTAAATTACGACCACAAACGTCTGATACCTACAGCTCTCTTCTACAAGACAATGACCCACTTGTAACTCAACTATTCCAAGAAGCAAACAGTGCAGATTACATGCTATACAATCATTTTAAATCTAAATTTGAAAACATTATGAATGACCAAGATGGCGATTTCTATGACGAGCTTAGTTATTTTAAGAACCTTTTGTTTCAGGTCGGTCAGTATTGCCAATATAATAAAAACGACACCTCCCTCCGTGTGGCACCGTCAAAATGGTCACCGGCGTTCACACTTAACAGATTACATTGCAAATATATGGAAATATACACTACCCATTTTAAAGTACTATTTAAAATGGAGTATTACAAACGGGTCTTTGCTAAATATTTTGAATCTCTTTTATCGTAGATGCTACATGTAAATCGCAGTCGAAAATCATTTACTAAAAGGCAAATTAGTCCATAACTCTACTGAATCCGTGCATTTAACGGCATGTTTTCACATTGGCCTCGTAAAAACGCTGAAGTTTCCCTATTCATAAATATATCTGAGCAAGATCTGGGTCTTTGGCTGAATGGTGCCTAAGCTTTCAGTTCAGTTTACCAACCTGACTCAGAAATACCCTGTGAACTGTGTACATATATGGTGCCTTGAATATGTATGTACAGGCATGTTAAAAGTAAGTTGCTTTAACAGTTAACGTGTAAATTTAATATGGATTTGTGAGTTATTTTCGCACAAATAAATGCGGTTCTACAAGATAATGGCCGTGTTGTTTTGCTGTCAACTCAATCTCATAGACTTAGTTTATGATATTTCAAGGAACGTCATAACATAATCATAATTTTGGTATTTCACTTATTAACAAATATGAATAGTCCAAACAGAAGAATAGTTCATAGACGATAATATCTTGAACACTGTCTTATTTTTATGTCATCTCGTGTTCTTGTTCATTCGACACTGCAGAATGTAGTCATACGTGTATATAATAACGTTATATGTCACTTTAAGCCTATAAAAGCTGATCAACACAAAATTATATCAAATTTGAACATTTATATTAAGAAAATACGCCTCATGACAGATTTCAATGATGAGATTGAATTTATAAAAATGATATCTAAAATTTGTAGTAAAAGGTGTCGATTTTAAGTTATAGAAAATCAGAATAACACGATAAATCTGCCGCTATGAATGGTTATTTTAAAGTATCATTGAAAATATCAGTTATGTGGACATATTTATGAACAATTTTGAACTGAAAGTACATTTATATGAAAGAAAGATAAAATACAAATTAGAAATCATATGAAACACGCTTAAAAAACTTATTCCAATGAATACATATGGTATACATGTATGCCTATGTTGTTTCCTTTGTATTATTTATTATTTCATTTTTATCTCATCGCACTATATTTACAGTTTATGTTTTGCGTATCTACCTTTGCAATTATAGTAATTACTAATATTTCTTATTCAGTTATAAATACTAGGTTTTTATTTGTGTGTCTGGAATTATGTACTGTATATTTTTATCCCTTTTGTAATTAGTTAATCATTTTGGATATTTTCACTGTTGTTTAGTTACGGCTAATATATATGATTATATTTCTGTGTTTTTTTTTCGCTTTGTGTTTACAATAAGTAAATTATTTCATTCAAGTTAGCTGTGAAATTTACCAATATTCTAAGTACGAGCGTATATTGACCCCATTTACAATTCCTGTGGTGAAAGGGCAAGAGAGAGAGAGAGAGAGAGAGAGAGAGAGAGAGATAAGACCCCAGATGGAAGCAATTCAGTAAGATCACTAATGAAAACAGTAACACAGAAACAGTTAGGAACATTTGGCGTAGTCAAACGATATTTTATGGCTATCCCCATCTCCAATAACTGTCTCTTTACAACCCTTCAAACGAAATAGGCGCAGAATGGTTTGTAAATTATAATGACTTGTGCTGATTATTTGTCATCAATTTTAATTCCTAAAGACATAATACATAATACTTGCATCAATTTGTTGTGATATCAAATAAATTTTCAAGAAAATTCATTAGTTGGATTATGTAATAAAATCGGTCTTGAACCAAATACCCTGTGTTGTTTGTACTGGTATGAGTGATGAAGTAAATGTTTATGGTAATTTTGGATGGAGAAAACGTACAATGCTGTTATGAGAAGGAGAAACACTAGTTATATTGTGCTCGCTCAATATTGCCTGTATATTACAACTGAGACAAGACATTTTGGACTATTCTACTTAATAAAGACAAAGTTCAGAAAATCTTCTCTGTAGCATTTATACGGAACCTGCACGTATTTTACTGAAGCCACGCTTATGACTTGCAACTAAGAGGGTTAGATACAGATGATACAATATTCGACGACGTATATCATCATCGTCAAAGAAACTGAGGTAAATTGAAAGATTTAGGAGCTCTGACGCATATGGTATAACTGTTTGTAATGACCGTGTGCCCAGTAGCAATGAGATGGAAAGATGTCGTGCCAACAGCGGAATGGGCGAGCCATGGTCAGTAATTGAACTAGCCGATATTTGTGAAGCGCCGACACTATAGATATAGAGTATCATTTGCAAACCCCTATCCTGATGGTAATATTTCAAAACTCTCTGTAAACCATCTGCAGAATAGTAAAGTTGTGTCTTATCATTCATTCTGAGTTACTCATAAACATATGGGTAGCATTAGAAACGTCATTATCCATCAAATGCGGAGAAGCGTCGCTGTATACTTGCTTCAACATTATTTTGGAACCCTCTGTGAAGCAGTGGCGGGGTAGTTTAATTGTATTCAATAATTGCATCTGGGCACCTCAGACACGTATGAACGGGCTAGGGTCTCGGCGGTATTACCCGTGCTACCGCGTTCATCGCCAAACACATGTTGCCAAATAACACCGAACTCCTGTATAGAAACCATCAATGCCTGTCTGCCATCTACAAGCCTGTTCGCCTTCGAGATATCCACCCAGACAATGAAGACGTTATATAATGTCTGGCCCCTGTTACCAGAAGGTGTATGTCTTATTGCAGGAGTGATGATATGATTGTTTCCAAGAGTATTGCACTGTTACTCACAGATCGAAGAAGAACGGAAATGAATTGTCAGCTGTAGAACCTAATAGCATTGAGGTGGATTTTTGCTGTGGCAGTCTCCCTCGTTGTGTTTTTACATCCGCTGAATGTTCTGTGGGATCTGACATCACTTAAATATAGAGTTTTGACATCACGGTAAGTATAAGACATGACATGTACTGGTACATATAACTGTATTTAATACTTTGAAAACTGTAAAGTAAGACGGAAAATGTGACTGTTCTCACTTGAATTCTCGACTGCAATTTACAGTGTGCAGGAGGCGCATGTGTTAATCTGGGCGAGACTATGGGCGTATAAAGGACAATGGGCAGCAAAATGGAGTTCTGTCGATCCTTATTTAGAGAAAGTTTGCATTAGTCTTCCCCTATGTGAATGTACCAGAGCCTTTTGTTTGAAACGGCGTCTGGAATAAATAACTGAAAGGTATTTGTTATTGAAGTGCAGTATGTGCGCACCAAAAATGTGGTTCTCCGATCAAAAAGAAAGAGGCAGCAAATATTTAAAACATGTATATAGCGTAATTTTGACTTTCCTAATTATAGATTTCTACTTGATATCACATTCGGAGTATCCCTACACGAATCAGTATTCTTAATCTAAGTGTATGTCGAAGTCATGATCAGTATTAGTAATGTTGGCTTGAGGCGTGAATTCTGTGTCAGTAGGCATTCCAAGAAACACCTCTGTTCGCAAGATGCATTATTCTACTTGAGTGTCTTCTTTGCGTGTAGATCGTTTTGTTATTGAGACTAAGGGTATTTTTTCGTGCATCGATAAATGTTATGTGCACTGAAGCTATTGTTATCGTCAAAACGGAGGCATTGAGTATTTTAACTGAAATAATATGAGACATAGAGCCTACAGTGGGCGTTGTTTTAATAGTAAGTGATGCAAATGCGTTGAATTGAACATAACACTGCTACGATTTTCCCTGAAGAATTATTTTTGTTTATTACTGGTAAGCAGAGGTGTTTGTAGAAAACTACGTCCACTGCTGCAGCGAGACTTCGCAGCCAGGTCCATCCAATGTCAACATGAGCCTCATAGCTAGATGATGTCCTTTATTTATTTATTTATTTATTTATTTATTTATTTATTTATTTTTGCAAAGTTTGTCACAGTTTATTGAAAGAACTGGCCAGTGTCAAAAAAGAGTTATAGCCCAAAACTGGTCTAAACCTTTACAACGAAATTGATAAAAACACCCACTCTTACAAAAGATGAATGTGTAGTAGTCGAATTATACATGTATAAGATACTGATTATTTATCGTGTGGGTCCTTTTTTAACAGGAGAAACAGGCCAGTAATTACTGTATTTAAGTGGACTATTACATTGCCTTTGGGACAAATGGGCAAGAACGAGAATTTTTTTAACAACACATTCACATATAGTTTTGGCCGAGTCATCAAAAGTGTGCACATGTCTGATGATTTGACCGGGAAATGATATTTCATCAATCAGAATATCTTAATTACGTTCCCGTAACCTGCCATTACTGACCAAATTGATCAAAGTCACTTTTATCACTGTTTGCAGCAACTTAAAATTGTCTGATCTCTGAGAGAATAATCAAAGTCAAGCACTGACACTGGCAATCTTTTGATCCCCCGACAAGATAATTAAAACGTTGTTTCTGTAACCTTGTAACCCCTGATCAAGTTCATCAGAGTGTACCGGGGGTATATGCTTGCCAAGCTATACTAATGCATAGTCTCAGAACGGCTCTTAAGGCCATCTTCGGCTTCATTTAACACCATAAACACATGACTTCCACTGACCACACGTGTGGCCTCCATTGCACTTAACATAGTGTATTTTAAGAAAAGCATTAACTTGTCATTAAAACCTCATCTGGGTACCTCTAGCTTTTCTAATGATTGTCGAAGTTTGATTTCCCTGAGGTCCCCTTCAGATGTTGATCTCGTATCCTAATCATATCTCAACTGGGCATCGGTTACAGAGAGCAAGCTATTGTGAAATGAAGCATTAGAATCACAATCCACCCAATACCAGATTTTTTTCAATTTTTTAAAGTACAATTACTGGCCAACTCGGTCAAAATGCACAAGGAAAGGTTAAGGCATTCTGAACGTTGTATTTTCTTTTGGGCACACGAGATATTTGCCTCGTCTGAAAATTCCACGATTTTATCTGACTTATACTACTGGGTCCAGAGGAATTGTCTTACCCCCTCCCCCTCGACCCCCTACCCCTCTCTTTGGTAGGAAAAGGGGTACCTGATCTGTAGTAGTGTGTAACTGTTAGGTTATAATGCTCGGATGTTTGTTTGGTTTCTTATGTGTGAGATAATTGATTAATGTGCTTTCTGGGAAACACGTGGTGCAAAAGAGAGGCGCCTTTAAAGCTATCGGCTTCTGTGATGTGATTTTGACTGGTATAAATCTATGTTCACTTACCTATTCACATAAAGTTTACGGCTTTATTAATATACACCGTTGAAAAAGGTAAAAAGAAAGTTAACGCTGACGTACATGCATAGAAAGGCATAGACGCTGTACCCCATTTTTCAGCTATACTTGTAGTTTACATACGCTCAAATTGAAGTAAGTGAGATACCAGGGTACTTTTGGATATTCATTCAAAACCACTGATTACAAACAATGTAATGTTGGGTGGAAATATCGTAGAGTGGAGCGTTTTTCGAAATGACCAAATGAACTATTGAGTGAGGATTTTCTTCCACTGTCACCACTGCATGCTTTTTAAAAATCCTTTATGTTTCATGATACACATATGAAACTTCAACCACTGTACATGTGTTTCAGTATTCGCATTCGAAGAAAATGAAAGACATACAGAAGTTCCAAGAGGCTTTTGATTTTAGTTTCTAGAGTCCGCACTTTACCCAAGAATGTATTACCAAAACGGATGCAATTGGCTCATTAATTTTTATGCACAGTGACAGTGATCGAATCGAATTCTAATCGAAACCTCCCTCTCTTTCTCTCAAGATCCCCTCTCAGGTGAACAGAACCATACACATAGTGATTTAAATATTTATTAAAACACGAATTTCCCTCTCCAATGTAGATATAACATCTGGAAACATAAATGTAATCATCATAACGACTGGCTGTTCACTTTCATCACTTTCAACCAATTGGAGCATTTCTACTCAACAGTTGGGTATTCATTTACCGTGTCTTTTTTTAACTTGCGATCAAAACATCAAAGAGTTATAACCAAATGCGTATTTTGCGTTTTTATTTTCATGTTTTCTCCTCACAAATCTGACATTAGTTAACGTGCATGCCCTGAGTTTAGAAGATAAGCTAATACAGCTGCGCATCGTCTCTAACTGTACATGTAATGCTCGTTGTTTTCACAATCAGTCTGTTGTGACAACATTTCGCTTGCCTACATACACAAATGCATTCCAATATTTCATAGTCTTAATGCAAAATGTATAGGGTAAGTAACTATTTTTGCATACTACAACTAACTCTAAGTAGAGGTGTAATCAATCTCCTATATACCGCCACAGCAAACAAATTTCCTTAATGTCTATCTACAATGTTTGAAAACTAATTAATATTGCAAGATTGGTCCTGCAATGTGAACATTATAACAGCTGTATATAAAATAATAACGAGTTTTCAATGACCAGATGCTGTT